GATTTATGTCTGCGGTCAATCATAGATTGTGACGTACTCAATGACTCTGTTCTGTTAAGATATAAGCGGTGATGTACGTGATATTTGCGAATTTGTTGCCCTGTTCGCGACAAACAGAGAGTAAAAATAAAATAAAACATTACTAAAACACCCAGACGCATTTCTACACTACTTTACATTAATTCTTAAGCTCTCGAACAGGGAACTCTGGGAATGAAACCACTCAATACATTCGTATTTGTCTCCGTTTTTCCTGTGTGTGCTGTCTTGAGAAGGTAGAAGACTTGCGATGGGCTGATCCCCCATCCAAGGTGTCATAACAAGTGTCTAGAGAGATTAATAATTTCATGGGTAATTCTGAATTGAAACAGGGCACACAAAAGGTCGACTCCGCAAAAGCTGAAGTTCACATTTTTTATTATGTTTTAATGTATATCTAATTGTATTAATTTAAACCTATTTTTTAACATGAGACATGTAACGCCTAGTAATATAGGCAATTTTATACAATGGACAAAATAGGTAAAAATAAATAATACAATATTTTATTTTCCGTCTATATTGCGTATATTGATTTGTTTGATTTTTAAGTCTCTTCCTTTAAATTTGAAGGTTGTGCTTGGATGTTTTATATCTGTAAAATTAATTTTCAAATCGTGATTTTGGATATTGACATAGGAAATATAATAATTTACTAATTTAAAGAGTTATTACGTAATATAACGTAATACAATGTAAAAGAATCATATTAAATAGTAGTAAAATGTAAATAATGTGATTTACTTGATCAATAAGCCTCACTACATGAATAACTGACTCTCTGCTAACGAGGTTAATCAAGGAGTAATGAATCCTTCGAATTACTGACCTGAAAAAGGAGGGCCGGAAGGATACTATAAACTCAAATTTAGTTTCTTGAAGAAATTTCACTTTTATAAAATATGAACACCACAAAATTCCTTCCTGGATATACGAGGCGCGTCCCAAAAGTAAGTTTCCCACTCGTCCCACAGCTAGCAAACCTTATATTGAGCGAAGCGACTGTGCGTACGTGATAGAGCAATGACGTAGCATGGCGCATGCACTAACGGTACTTCCCGCGAATGTCTCAATTCCGGTGGCGAATGTGTTGAAAAATAGCTGGACACTTGCTGTATCTGTTGCAATAAATATTTCCATGAAATTGTGTTTTGTTTCTGTAAACGGCCCCAGGGAAACTTACTTTAAGGACGAGCCTCGTATTAAATATTGGTTTTGGTCCAGGTGACAGGCTTACACGAGCTTTTAACCCTTTAAAACCGAATGGCAATTGTCCTACCAGCTTCAACAAATTCCTCGTTTTGTATTTATGGGTTTCGTATGACTCTCACTGCAAACAGTGATTATTTCTTTAAACAGCATTGATCAGTTCATCTTTGTAATGGTGAAATGTTGTTTTCTTTTCGGTACGGACTGAATTCTTAAATATCATTTAGACGATTTTCAGCTTATAATATGAATGGTTAGAAGAAAATGCAGACTGATTTACAAACACACACGTAACTGCATTCAAAACCAAGAGACAGAGAGATACTGCATACAGGCCAACCATGAGACAAGATCAGTCACCGCGGTTTCGTTGAAAATTTGACTTTGTTGTTGTCTTATAGAGTGTTATCTAGGGTAAGGTGGTAAAAGTTCGATTATTTTTTGTACCGGGGTGAAAATAATTATTTTTCGAAACAAAATAGTTATATCTGAAATAAGATACAGACGTGTTACACACGGATGTATAATTAAACTTTAATTAAAAGCACAACTGCGTTGCAGAAAAGCTTTAAGGTGTATAGACCTATATATTTTAATAAAATTTTATCTCAAATGTTTTACAATTGTTATCGAACTCATTTTCTGTTACAGCACTAACACAAGCTTTGAGAGAAACCTGCCAAATTTTGCAAACTTAGCAACAAATTCAGTAATATTTCTGAACAGATTTATCGTCACAGTGATTCATTAAGCAAATTCCACAAACATTTCTTTTTCAGGGTGGTACTTCGTTTAAAGAGGAACGATTTATTCCACGCCCTGTACGTTATTTCGATGAAATTTTAGTATTTTGCATTTGTTTTCTTTCTTTTCTCTTAGCAAAAATATTGATCATTATGTAATTTTCTTACTCGTCATCTGTGTCGGACTGAATACGTCGCTGATATAGTAACTGTAGGAGGCAGGAAGGACCTCTAAAACGTCGGTAAACATCTACCAGACTACACGGGGCAACAACTCAGAAGGCTCACCGCCTTGAAAATCTCAAATCCTACATGAACACTTCGGCTGAAATCTTCACCACAGAAGAACTAAGAGTTTATACATTATAAATTGTAAATCTGTTGCAAAAACTGGAAGATCACTGAATCATCATGATCTGTGATCCATGAATACGCGAAATATATTGAAAACAGAATATAGAAACTTCTTAAATAATGACGTAAGAAAATTACATCACATACCCCCTTAAAGTAGACTAATTTTACGAATACAAACTGAGGATAAACGGAATACGAAAAGAGGCAGACGTAAATGAATATGAAGCAATGGGAGGAAAAAATCTTCCGAGTGAGGAGGTCAGGTGGTGGGGTCAGTTGCACCTGGAGGGTTTAGGATCAGGCCTAATCCTGGAAAGTTTATGACGGTGGTAATAAATAACAAGCTTCTGGGACAATTTGTTGTATTTGGAAAGAAAGTGTTCAATAAATTAATGTATAACTGTCATGTACATATTCAGATCGTCTTAATTTGCATTATTAGTAAGTATGCGGGTTTAATGCGAGTATATAAGCTTAATCATAATTACTAGACTTACTTAATTTTGAAAACTTAACACAGAAGTTTTCGTCCGGTGTTAATATTATCCTACTCTGCCATATTAGAGTGCGCGTCGGACGAACGTACAGCTTCTGGGTTTCGTGACACTTTTCATTAAAATTTTGATCAATTAAGCTTATACTTTCTACCGGAACTCAATTTGTTATGGTCTTGACTGCATTAGTAGCCCACCTGCCGCTGAAACAGCAAATCAAAATAACTGCTTCGTGACAAATGTTACAGGACACATGGTAGCCGTCATCACGTCAATTTGCTTGCTGAAAACAGACGATCAAGCTAAGAGACTTCCTCAAATGGGCATTTCAGCGAGGATAAATTTTAGAATCTCTTTCGAATATAAAATACATGCTTTAATATGTTGTTTATGTATAATTTGCGATTGCTAAAATTCATCACCTGTAATCTAGGAAAGTGACTCCCAAAATCTTCAGTTTGCGGATCGCCTGGACGAAATTTGGAAAACAATAAAAAATTCACGTTCACTCCTTAAAAATAATGTCCGCCATGCTTGTCTGTGCGATGCGGAAATAAATAACTAAGTTCTGACGGTGGCGACTCTGGCATCAACAAACGCAAAAGAAGCTATGGTGGCGCCTACGGGGGGGTCTGGAAGGAGACCGGATCAGGCGTTTGGTCTACTGTTGGTGCGTTTGGCAGAAATCTGGCTTCGGCCTTTAATATTATATTATAGCTCAGATCAAAATATCTAATACGGGTCTGTTTTCCGTCTCCACACGATATATTATCCAGTCTTTAAAACTTTATAACACTTGTTTATTTCACACTACTGAGCGATATGTTTCGAACTCAGTGGTTCATCTTCCGGCCTCTAACTTGTTACAGAAGTGACATTATTACATCGATTGACAGAATTTTTTTCTACGTGTTAATCATTAGACATTTCAAGGCTGATATTATCTGATTTTATTAAGTAAATCCAAATTAATAAGTGTCTTAAATTAGGCCACGACCACTTACTTCCACATCCTTTCCTTACTGAAAAGCGTCATTAAATAAAATATAAATAAATTAGAATACATTGCGAAGGCAAGGCCAATGTATAGCAACAATGGAATAATAATGACAAATATTAACAGAAATTACAGTAAAATTAACAATAACAATGCGTAATCGTGGTTACGCCACAATGACCATCGGTTAAGCAGGTTGCCTGCCTTCTTGGAGAGACGCGGAAGGTAAACATTACCAAAGCGTGAAGAACGCCTACAAATTAATAGGGCCTACAGGATTAAAAATTAGTTACTTCCGGGGGCCTGAAACAAATGAAGTGATGACAGATAGCGCAAAAATTGCAAAATTAAGAGTTCCAAAATTTGTAATTTCCAGCAAATAAGACTATTATTAGAATTACCTTGTAGCCTAAGAAAGGCTGGGATTTATTCGTGTAGCAAAGGACAGGACAATGCTGACAAAATTTTGGCTGGGAAGGGAATACAGTGCTCAAAACACCGACATGTGTCCTCGTCGTTTCGAAAGAGTTGTACGCCCAGACAGGAGAATAATATTAAAAAGAATAATTATAAAATAGTGTGAGGGGGGTACAGAATTGATTCCTCTGACTCACCAATGGGGCACTAAAGAAATTTCCCGTCTTTCATGGGACGGAAACAAATTTTCGATAAGCTGAATTTTAATGCATTCTTACACAATTAATGGCCCGAGGAAACTTTACTGCATTCAGACCCCATGAATGCTCGAATCTTATCGCGTTTAGAAGTTGTCTAAGCAGGTGATGAAAACAGTTTTGGAATAAAAAGACACCACAAGGCTCAAAAACAGGTAACACAGGTTATAAATCACTATGGAAATGAGGCTCTCATACAGCCTAATAAACAAACGAATCTGGCTTCAAAACTGATCTTTTATCTTTCAAATGATATGATACGTAGAGAATCTATGAGCAGGCATTTTAGGAAACAAAATGGTGGAAGACTCCTCCTTCAAGGGGATTAAAATTTGCGAGTGACACCCTCCGTCGCGCGCCGACTGATCATACACCAATGACAGATCAAGGAGGAGTCTAGTCTTGGTTGGCTCCTCCTTCTGTGGTACTCTGGCGGGCCTTCCTTCTACTACACAGATAACAAACTACGACTAATAATGCAAGTGAGAGAAGTAGCCAAGGAAGTTTGTTCACGCGGTGAGTGCTTCAAGAAGGCAGTGACTGGCGGGTCGTGACAGGCAAATATTTTGATTTTCGAACATTGTTTTGGTGAACTGGCAATAAATAAGATCGGTATAATAATTATTATTCCCAGACATGGACATTACATATGTTTTCAGTGTGAACATTTACAACAGAGAGTAATTTGTTGCAGGGGTAAGACATAATATGTTAACATATGCACGTCTGCAACGCAACATGCTCTTATAAACAAGTGCTGGACGCGAAGTGGGAATGTCTGCAAAAAGTGAGAGCAGTCCATACTTAAAATAGCTTCGAAGGCGGGCAAATGGCTTACAAGTGACTTATCAAAACAAGTACTTAACTTGCGTTATGGTATTATGACATGTGTAATATAAGAATGGACTAGAATTGCCCGAAAATATTGTAAGTAACGAAAAACGAATTTTTACGATTCTCAACAGAACTTAAACATAATTAGACAATTTACCTATTTGATAGTCACTAAGCATATAATTTAGTAATAAAAAAAGGTCGTGTCAGAGATTTAAATACGAGGAGGGTGCTGCAAATATTAGTGGCTTGAGCAGAAATAATCTTATTTTGTTTCATTCTTAGATCTGCATTTTAAACACAGGTTGTAATGTGTTAAGACGGTATCGAATTATAAAAGACAACAGAACATTTTCAATTACACGCTCCAAGATTATTTAAATTCTGCTCCATTTGTTCCCAGTTGCCTAAATGACAATTATCTGCAGACAATTGTTTGAAATTGAAGAATAACTTCCCTTAAAACACTTATTTCACAATAACTAAATGAGTTTGCATAGATCGGCGTCTATAGCATCGAATCTCATATAATTTGAATGATGCTAAATCGGATAAACAGGTTGAAATAGTCCCTTAGAATGGAAAGTTACGTTACTGACGAGTGGTAACAGAGGCAAAAGAAATAGACGCAGTCAAGAGTCTCAAACGACGATGTGTATTTCTAGGAGAGCGAGAAAAGTGAATATGATTTTGTTGAGGCACCTAGACACAGCAGCGCGATAATGGTTTACGCTTAAGTGGCGTCGCGATGCCCAGGCCGAGCCGCGAGTCATACGGGGACCAGAAGCCACCGTACTCGTACATCTCGTTGACCGCTATGGCCATCTGGAGCTCTCCTGAGAAGATGTTGCCGCTGTCAGACATCTATCGCTTCATCACCGAGCGTTTCCCTTACTACCGTCGGAACACACAGCGTTGGCAGAACTCCCTGAGGCACAACCTCTCCTTCAACGACTGCTTCATCAAGATCCCGAGGCGACCCGACCGACCGGGAAAGGGCGCCTATTGGGCTCTGCATCCCGCAGCCCTCGACATGTTCGAGAACGGTAGTTTTCTCAGACGCCGGAAACGTTTTAAGCTGCCTAAAATCGAGAAAGATGCTTTAGAAGTTGGCTTGGCTTCCATACAACAAGCTTCCAATAACGTTCCTAGCGGTGGAATGCTGAAGAACGTAGTGACGTCGCAAGAGATGCAACAGTACGCGGGTTCGTCACTGAACGCTCCCTCTAAATCTTTCAGCATCGAAAGTATTATGCAAGGTGCCGCGGACACTCTTCCCGAAACGACTGCAGCGGCCCTCCAAGCCCTGCAGCACCCCGTTGTGCCCCAACCCGTGTTGGCGCGTGGAAATCCCTTCGGCTCACCACCGCTCTATACTCCCAGCATCTCTCTGCCACCCGCGCCGTCCACAGGATACTTCCATCACCATCCTCCCGTATGCCTCCAACAACAGTTACCTGGTGCTTGTACCGCGGGCGGTTACATCGTACATCCAGCTGCTGCTGCCATCTACGCTGCAGCCCTCGCCACAGCCGGACTTCTTCTTCCGCCGTTCAACAAGCCTTCTCACTCGCTTCCGGGTCTGGTGAAGCCTCATCCGCTAATGGCGTCTTACCCTCAACAGCTAGCACTTGCTCAACCTCGCCTGCCTCCAGCACAGAGGGTTCTCGAGCTTGAGGATTCGACGTCTCCGCCGCCATCAACACCCTTCCTCGATGTTGTCGACAATTCCACGTCTTCGTCTTCTTCGGACCTGTTGCAGCTACCGGGGCAGCTTTAGCAGCAAGGTAAGGTTCACCGAAAACACCCAATACACTGTCATAGAAAGAAGCTGTTTTCTGTTTTTAGAACCCTTTCCCGCAACACGACACCACGTCTTAAGCGTTAATTAATAAGACGTTAGTGTCTGCCTACGAGTTTACACGGCGCCAAAACCCATCTCATTTAAAAAGACTCCTTGCAGGCTAGGTTCAGATCACGAAATTGTTTGTAAATTATATAAGACGGGTCTTCATTCGTTACATTGAACATAAAAGGCCTTTATGAGTATTCGAATTACCTGCCCAGGCACATTTAAAGCACGTGCAAGCTTGCGTATTTGTGCCTACTCAGAAATGGAACACCAAACTCTTCCAGAAAAGTCCCAATCGTCAACACTTGCTGTACCTTACACTCGTGTCTCTGAGCGTAAATAAACAATCTTTGCCTTCTCACATTTTGAAATGCGTGGATGATGTTCGCGTGTCTTTAAGTTAACATTCATATTCTGTTTATAATATCAATGTTCTATAAAATATCTGTGCTTAAAACACGCACTGCTCGAATTACAATAAATAATTTGTAAATATGAGAACGAAATTCGAAGGCTTTGTGTGCAAATACATATTTTTTCTAGAACATCTTAAATGGACTTAGTCACAACAGACTTAAAACGTGTATCAAGTAGGATTTGAGGTTTTTAATGGCGGTGAGTCCGAAGTTGGCTGTCTTCTGTCTGATAGACGTTTACCGACGTTTCAGAGGTCCTCGGTAAACTTCTACCAGGCTACCACGGCGCTTAACGCAGAAGACAGCCATCTTTACACACCGGATCACTGGTATTCGTAGTCAAGGGTTTTGTTAACCGTGTTTTCCCAGCGTACGTGCACCTAAAAACAAATGCTAGCCTACGATGCTGACAATGGCTTGTGACTACGACGCGCTCGAGCCAACAGCGGGCAGCCATTGGAATTCAGATTTTCCACGTGGCTGTGCACGAAACCACAGCGCTACACAGCAAACACGAAATTGCTCGAACCGAAACTTCAGCGATGAACGTCGACTGACAAACCATCCATGGGAATCTGTCTTCACTTACGAATAACCGGTTAAGAAGCAATCTTGTTGGAATTAATAAAACCCTGTTCTTTACAAGAAAAATAAAATAAATGCACTGCAAGGTATATTGAGCAGCAATATTTAAACTAATAAATAATTGTCACTTTTCTACATGAACCATGAGAGACAGATTTCTAGATAAATAACTGTTACAAGTTGTGTCATTAAAATAATAGATGTGTACATGTAAGAAAAGAGTCCTGGGTGTTTGGGTGTTAAGATAATTAGATAAATCTCCCTAGGGGCTCTATGGATAACAGCACCCAAGCACCAACCAGCACAAATGTTTGACAAGGAAAAGTTCTGTTGTTAAAGATTCTTTTTGCTAGGGGCAATATCCCACGAACATTTGTATTGTCGGACGTGCACTGCTGAATAAACTGCCTGACCACAAGATACTCCGTCTGCGATTGCCCGCTTATGTGAAGGAATGCACAATCTTCTCCCCGTGGGATTATTCCAGACACACAGTTTCAAAACCCAAAATCCGTTTCATATTACTCTGTTATCTTACGACATTCTTATTTCCAAATCTTTCACTTTCGTAATTGATTAATTCAAAGGTAGTACAATAAAACGCTAAATATGGAATATTTCGGAAATGAAATGTGACAACACTGTAATAAACTGTCACATATTCGTCAGAACTAAAAGCATCAACAATCCTGATAATTAACAACTGTACAATCGACTCTTGCTAAACCTTAATTCGGAAAAGAAATTATATAAATAAAATAACAAATAAATAAATTTTTAATTATCTGTAAATTATACAATTACTCTGTCCATAGATTCACCAACAATGGTTTTTTCCCCTCTAATCTTCCTCCCCCATAATTATTCTGCACCCCAAATACCCCTTCTTGACCCTCCCTCTTCAACCCTCTGTATATTAATTAATTGCTGTTCTTAACGCCTCACAGTGCCTTATGTTGTGTGAGTGCAAGAGAGTTAAGGACAATGCTGCCATAACAGCAGAATGTCCCCCCCACCGAGTCTAATGCTGGGTCCCCCACTGTTAGAAACTGCCGGACCCTACAGAGTATTCAATGTGGCTTAACAGACGGCCGATCTATGAGTAGAAAACCTTAAGGCCGGCTCATCGCTCGGCACACATTCAACACGCGCACGTCAACTATAGAACCATATATTGGAGAGAATAAGTCTGCACACAGATTGTAACACAAGCCTACAAATCTCCTATTTAGTTCTGCGTATGACACAGAATTGTAGTGCATTTAATTTCAAATTAAATGGAGTAATTTATGAGACGTAAGCCTGAGTAGGATTTGAGGTTTTCTTGTCGGTGGTTCGGTGGGTTGTTATGCCATGTAGTCTGGTGGAAGTTTACCGACGTTACAGAGGTACTTACTGCCTCCATCATCAGGGCGATGGGTACCAGACGACACGGCGCTAAAACCCAGAAGACAGCCATCTTCGGACTCATCACCGTGAAAATCTCATATCCTACTTGCCTACTTAACCATTGTGCTGCAATAATTGTCCTTTAACCCTTTAAAGTAGGGTGCTAACTACACACAGAGGCTATAGAAACATTATTGTCTTTACACTCGACGCCGTGAGAACTCGAATTCTCAGTACGAACATGACACTTTAAATGCGTATCATGAGTTGCTTATGGCAGGCCGTCCACATCAATACCGGTTGCTGAATAGAGCTACTGTTTCAGAATAATTCTGAGGTGAGACAGACCACCAAATTTAGGGTAATCCACAAAGATGGCGCAGGTAACCTTTACTCTGATCAGGCTGTTGTCAGTATTTGACTTGCACATGGGCCATCAAGAGTTGAATGAAGCTTTGAAAACGTATAACAGACAGACGAGACGTGTAAGGTAAAGTAAATAAGATTCGGTTTTATGACGTTAATATAACCCACATCACAGCCATCTTTAGACGTAAGTCTACTGATCAATCAGATAATTTCCTGTCTAGACACTTCGAAATTCTGTAAATGTTGCTAATAGCTTATCAAGAATTATTCTGCTACTTGAAGTTAGTTGGTTAGATTTAAATGATAAATCTTTATACTAACGGTAGTCCTGAAACTACAGGTTAATAATATTTCAGAATGAATTTCGGGCTACAGAAATAATTGTTGGAGACTTCATGAAAGGATGAAAATATAATCGGTCAGCAGATGGTGATGATGTTGATGCAGTTTAATGACATGTACACGGCTAAGTTACAACTATATGGGTAAATTAGGTTCAACACCTTGAATTTGCCCGCATACGCATCTTTCAACTCTGAAGTCAAGGCTCGTCTAAATGTTATTTAAAAATCCAGTCCGTACCGCGAAGAAAACACACCTCTTCGCGATTGCATCGATCAGTTGGTTAATGCTGTTTAAGAAAATAATCGCTGTTTATCCTGAAAATCATGCGAAAACCACAAATAAATTCTGTGGGCAAAATGTGGACTTGTAGATTTTTAAAATAGGTAACACATGCGATAAAGGTAGGTTTAAATTACTACCTGAAAACGCAAAAAGGAACCTTCAAAAATCGACAGGAATGGGCAGTATTGAGATTAGCCTATCTTGAATCAACTTTTTCGCCTGTCACTAAACCTGAGTGTTGCTAAATCCCCAGTAGGTCGCATTATTAGGGCTACAGGCAAAAACACGTTTAGCAGAAGGCTAACTGGATGCAATTTCAAACACCGTATCAGCAGATTGCTTCAAATCTGGTTTTACTTTTTATATTTAATGTCAGAATTGAATACAACCTTACTATACAATTTCTTGGAAAGTCAAAGTCTGTGAATTATCGCGTCTGAACAGCGGAGAAACAAAGCCAGAGTTACATTTTCTAATGAATATTTCTAAATATAACGAAGCAGTAATGAACCACGAAGTACATTTTTCGGTGTAAGCAAGAACGAAACTTCTAGTTGGAAAAAATATCATTACATCACGTAAAACGTGATTTTTTTGTTTTGTGAACAACACATCTATAGGCCTACAGTGAGATTTTAGGTTCTTAAGGCTTCAAGTATAAAGATGGCCGCATTCTGGGCTAGTGCGGCATGGAGTGTGGTAGAAGTTTACCGACATTTCAGAGATGTTTGCTGCTGCCATCTTCAGGGCGATGTCTCCGTTATCGCCCCGTTGATGGAGGCAGCAGGAACATCCAAAAGGTCTTTAAAATACCACCCGATTACAAGGCGTAACAACTCACAAGACAGGCAATTTTAATATATGCATACAGGCGTTACAAATAATTTCTTTCGGTTCTCTTACCTTTTTCCGTCATCTCCCCTTCTCGTTATTCTCTTGTTTTTCTTCATAGTAACGCGTACGTCGTTCAGGATCTGAAAGGAAAAGCATGCCACTTAGTTTTATTGCGGAAAATGTTTATTTTTCACGTGCATATAAAAAAGTTATGTATTTCATGAAGTCTGGATTAAAAAAATGTTTGTGCCGACTGACACGCAAGATTAATTGTCGTAGTTCAATCTTGTTTTATAATACGAAATATGAACAGCGTTTCCAATTCTACACAGAGCTGTTTTGTATACTTTATATTTAAACGGTTGGTTCTGGCAGTTGATACATGTTTCCATTCCGTGACATTGCTGTTGCCTGCTGGGTAATAGAAAGCCAGAACAATCGGACAAAAACCACGCGTTCGTACAAATAACACACCATAGCATTTGTTTGTTTACTTGAACAAAATGACAGGCTGACAAATAATAATGTTAACGCTGGACAGCCGACGGACAATCGCTGCAATTCGTATGTTTCGATCTCTCGATGTATAGAGTGACTCATCATAACCAAGTCTAGTCTCTCTCTCTCTCTCTCGTTTTGGTATCCTTGTTCACTTTATAAAGGCCTATTTTTCATGCCCGGCCATGGATTACAACTAGTGTAATTCCGCTTTGCTGCTTAGATTAGGAAAAAGTGTTAATCTCTGATCACTTCAAACGAAGAACGAAACTTCGTCAAACCAGAAAGTAGTACAACCGCACAGAAAAGCACCCATCGTCCCACCCATCAGATCTTTTCAAATTCCCCACGTCTGAACACAAATATCTTCTTAAGTATTTTATATATCAAATATTGACATTTACTTATAAAGTCCAAAATGCAACGACGTATTATTACACTTCAGTTGTGAAGTAACATACAGAAAGAAAGAAAGAAAGAAAGAAAGAAAGAAAGAAAGAAAGAAAGAAAGAAAGAAAGAAAGAAAGAAAGAAAGAAAGAAAGAAAGAAAGAAAGAAAGAAAGAAAGAAAGAAAGAAAGAAAGAAAGAAAGAAAGAAAGAAGATGCTAAGGTAATAAAACTTCATTTAATTTTTATAAATAACTTTGGCCCTGAGATCATAAAACAACTGTTTCGCAAAACAAAGATTGCATATTCAAAATAAGAATTATTACACACACATATGTATATTTAATGTCACACCAAACATAAATTAAGAATAAAATAAATTCAACATTTTCAAATATATACATATAATATATCTAAAATATACCGCAAGTGGTAAAATTTTTATCAGAAACATTTTATACATATGAATATATTTATTGTTTAAATCAACACAAAATAAACGAAATCTCAAGAAAAAAAACTTTTGACATCTATATTTCTTTAATGTTACTGAGGCTATCAAGGAATACTAAATGATAATAGAAGCTTACAATTTCTTTATACATTTATGTACATAATTTCCGTAGCCAAATATTATCTTAAAATATCTCAAAGGCGCTATACCCTATACATATGAACGAGTACCTCATGCGGAATTTAAATTACACTTATTGACATTTTTTCAATACTGTAACTGTAGTTGCATGGATATAATTAATTTCGTTCCTTTTAATTCACGTTTCATTCCCACTTAGACCTAATATACGGGAACTGCCACGGTTTAATCTTATTTCAGTTCTGTAGCTCTATTTGTCCTTCCTATGTCCTGCTCATCATTCCACATATTTTTTGATACTGATGTACTTAGTATTTACAGTATAATCATCTTCATAGGTAAAGCCACTTGCATACATTTATAATTCGAAACTTGTTCTAACTTATATTAAGATTCAAACAAATTACTTTGCAGTGGATTGGATAATTCTCTAGCTGTTGAAATTAGAACATGTGCGACTAATCGAAGAATGTTGCTTGGTAAAACCAGATTTAGCTTAAAAATCACAAACTTAGACGTTCAACGAACCCTATCAAAGTCCCTGAGAGCTAAAATACAGATAACGAATCGATTTGGCCTTCGTATGCTATCGATTTCCCTTCCCTTATACGTGGAATATAAGAACGTGTTTAGAATCCGAATGACTAACTTGAATATCATTTAAATTCGAATGGAAAAGGCGTCGTGTGTTAGCCGGGACTATCTACCTTGTCAGGAGCCTGGAACACCAACAGGGAACAGTAGACAAGGGGTTACCAACATAACATTTGTTACGCCTAAAACATCATAAACCACACGCAATGTGATTGATGATGTCGTCTTGTATTATTGATTTGTTATGCACGCACTTAATAAACTGTTTATATTTTTATCCTCTGGATTTCATAGGCGTATGAATATGACAAATTGAATGAGAATAGTCATTACTGTAAACTTTGTACCCTACAAAAGAAAATCTGTGTTCATTTTATTGCTTAAACACCTGCCAGCATTATTAATATTCTATATAATGTTTATGTGACACATTCACCATGACATGTCAGTGAAAGCTAATTACCCTGTATCCAATAAATTACATTACTGGCTCTATAATGCGCCGAATACAAATAGCAAATATAAACCATACTCTTGAAAACTAAACCGATTTATCAGCACAAATTATGTTCTATCTTAACAAAGGATTCTAAATTCTAACTCCAAAGCGCTGAGTCGTTGTTGTGAAAATAACTTAGCTGGTTAAAATCCGCGAAAGTACACTTACCGTGTTCAGAACAGCCTACCACTGATCTCTGCATCAATCCAGATGAATCTATTCCAAAATAATACCACTCTATTTGCTTAAGACCCATTTTAACATCTTCTTTCCATCTACACCCAGGTCTTCCAAGTGTCCCCTTCCGTTTAAATTTCCAAACCTAAAACTTTGTAACTGATGAACTGGTTGTGTCTAAGTTCTCCTACAAGCACCACCGATCTGTACCTCATCAATGCCTACTGAAACGAAATTTGGCAGCTTACGATCTACCTAAGCTTTCGTTCAGTTCGTAAGCCGCCAACTGCGCCATCCGCTGAATAAATAAGGAAGGAAGATCCTGTTTTTTTTTTCTGAATGGCGTACAGAGGGGTGTGAATTTAGTCACAACCAATGCGAGCAATCCTGGAACAGGGGTCCGTTCACTGGCAACACGCAGGAATTAATCTTTTGACAGCGATTCGTTCTTCCATTAAATTTCCCCTTCGAATTTGTGTGTGCCCTTGTAAGTCATTTTCTCGACTGAAAGTAGAATAGAAAAGCAGTTTTGTTCTATTGTGTAGGCCAAGAATGGTTCATTTGAATTTACTTGCATGCTTCTAAATTAAAAAGAAGTTATTGTGAACCATGAAAGATGGGCCATTTGTATCGGAGTGCAATAGTATGAGGATTCACATAGGATAACGCTACACTATTGTTTATACCACAAAATATAAATTTACACTGCGTAAGTACGGCGTTAAACAACACGAGATTTGCAGGAGTAGAAATCTGTGCGATATGAAAGTAGGCCGTACGGATTCTGCCCGGAATCCAATGTTACTTTAAAACGGAATAGATTTCAGCAGTTCATAACAATCGACAGGTTTAGTCTGTCGCAAAAGCAAACAAACAAATTTGCACATACCTTCTGTCATCAATGGATATATTTCATAACAACGAGAAAAAACAGAATATTCCAGATGAATTGTCCAACTGTCTGAAGGACTCTTCAACCAAACCTGTGTAGTCCTTTGTTAGCATGAGACATTCTTTCATCGCAGACCGCAGGTGAGAGCTATTCTTTGACAGCGTCATAAAAGTATCTTCCAGCATTTAAATCTTTTCCGAGTTATTCTGTCTTGCGTCGCATTATAATAAGAAGCCATGCCAAGCCCCGAACTTTATGTTATATAAAACAGAATTTGTCCAGCTTTTCTTTTCTTCGGTTCCATTTGGGGGCCATAAAAGTGGCTGTAACCCAGGGTTAACAGACCCTGTGTGTGAGATGTGACGTATCGCCCCATTAGATTCAGACTTGGCTGGATGCTTTAAAGAGAGAAAGACAGAGAATATCATAGCTCGGTTCAACTTTTCGGTTCATTCATACGGAATCCAACTCTGTCGTTAAGTTACGACACATTACCCATAATTCAACTACAAAACAGCAGTAATAGCATTTTATAACAACCCGAAACGATTACGTAGGAATATAAAATTAGACTGTATAAATGTCAGTTCAGTATAAGGGATGCCAGAAACGAACATCCCTGGTAATTCAACTTACATTTCAACGATAGTTCAATACAGTTACATACATAAAAAATAAGGCTACATTACGCCCTCTACAATTATGATAATCAATTAAGCACTCGCAAAAATAGCTTTCATTTCATAGTCGATTATTTTATGTACTTGATTGCTCTGTTAAGATACATCAAAAATTCCACTAATATTTCAAGCTTCAAATGCAAACCCGTGTGCAAAAACAATTAAATACTCAAAGGCCTGCCCTCCTGCAGTGTGTTCACTAACAGAGCTGACGTTTCGGAGGTTTTTATTATCTCTTTCATCAGGAAGATTTTTACTCATCGAGCGACAAAGCCGATTTCACGAAATGCATTAACTACGACAACGGGACACGGCTGCAAGAATTCAGTATCGCTATTGGTCTCTCGTAGTTTCGTGTAGGCGTTTATGTGAGCAGTCAGGTTGCTTTTTTTAAATTGGCCATTCTGTACAATGCCCTCCATGTACATAAAATTGATGGTAGAACTTTAAGTTTTCATTATACACTTACAAACGATGTAATGGAAACAAAATCAAAACACAGCTAATTAATGGCAATGGTTATTTAATAAAACATGTTATTGTATGAGATATTTAATATATAGGCCTTTTCAATACTGAACACAATTAATTTCAGGCAATTTCGTGTTATTTATTTAATTGCTTGTGGCAAAATACAAAATACGGATTGACATCTTCAATCCAGCACATAACAGTAACTTTAAACTACACGTTACCTAACGCGTAGACCCATATTATTCTAAGCAAACAGAATTTATGGGTACAATTTACTTACTAATAAATAAATCCATCAACTTTTATTTACAGTTATTATCCTTTACCGTTCCTTAACCAGGGTC